TGAGGTAGGAGAATTGCTTGAAATGGGGAGGCGGAGATTGTGGTGAACCGAGATCACACCATTTCGCTCCAGCTGGACAACAAGAGCGAAACTCCGTCTCAAAAAAAGAAACAAGAAAAAAAGAGAGAAAACGCGAGTAACCATTACTAACACCAGGCAAAAACATTTCAGACAGCTCTCAGGACACGTGTGTATACTAGGCTGAGAGATGGAGATGCTGACAGTGGTGGTGGTGGTGATGATATAGATGGGTAGGTAGAGAGATAATATAAATTTGTTTACTAATATTATGTTATATATATTGGTTATATATATTGGTTGATACTTAGAGTCTATTTCCTTTCACTAGTTTTACATTTCAAATTTGAATGACGTCAAGTAGATTTGAACTCTCTGTTTCCACTTTCAGTTGTCCGCTAATGCTTTCTAAGAAAGACTCCATCGGTGCCGAAATAGCTAACATGGCCCAATCGGGAAGAAAGCTGGTGGATACTGTGACTGTAATTGACTTCATGAATCCATATAAAATGATACCAAAATCTTCAAAATAAGAATATTCTAAAACAAATTAACCAAAATACCTGATTTTATTTTGCTCACCATTTGTTCATTCAACAGATCATTACTGAGACTGACTAGATTCTAGGCCCTCTGCCAGGGCTTGAAAAGTAACAGAGCATATGGGTCCCATCCTGGAGCCAGCACCATGCTTCCCTCCCACTCGCACTCCTCCACTCACCCCTGCTCACCCATTGGCCTGTTGCATCACACCCGTCCCCTGAGCTTTCCAGGCACAGCTCCATCTGTGAAGCTCCCTGGGCGTTCCTGTCCATTGAAATATCCCTGTCTTCTGATGACCACAGCACTTCCTGCCCACTCCATTTAGCAGGCAGGTGTCTATGGCAAGAGGCCTGTGGGCCTAGATGCATGGCTGTGGCAACTGAGCACGGAGGAGCATCACAATTCTGGAGTCCAGGAGAGGACATGGACTTACACTGAGAGATAATTCTTCTGTGGAAGTGTGAGCTACTTTCTGGGATTAACCATAATATAAGTAAAGAAAAATACAATGTAGCGTGCAACACCAAAGTAACATGATTATGTGTTATGTATATAAGGGATAGATAGATAATAGGTAGATAGATAAATGGATAGATAGAAGAATGGATAGTAGATGATAGATAGATGATAGATGAATGGATAGATAGATGATAGATAGATGGATAGATAGGTGACAGATAGATGATAGATGGATAGACAGGTGATATATAGATAGATGATACATAGATGGATGATAGATGATAGATGGATGGATAGATAGATGATAGATGATAGATGGATGGATAGATAGATGATAGATGATAGATGGATGGATAGATAGATGATAGATGGATAGATAGGTGATAGATAGATGATAGATGGATAGACAGGTGATATATAGATAGATGATACATAGATGGATGATAGATGATAGATGGATAGATAGATAGATGATAGATAGAGAGATAGATGGATGGATAGATAGATGATAGATGATAGATGGATGGATAGATAGATGATAGATGGATAGATAGGTGATTGATGATAGATGGATAGACAGGTGATATATAGATAGACGATACATAGATAGATAGATAGATGGATAGATAGATAGACAGGTAGACAGAGTTAGATGGATCTTATCTGGTTAGCATTAATAGATCTAGCTCATCAGTTTGCAGGTTGGAAGAACATACAGGCTAGCTAAGGAAACTAGCGCCATGTTTATTTTGGTTTCTATAAAAGAAATAAGTGTAGGTTCCAAACAAATAAACCTTGGTAACCCAAATGTTTATAAATGATGGATTCCTTGCACTATCCTGTGCATGAGTCATGGGGCTAGAGGCCAAGCTCCAGAGGCGTGGAGCCCACTCACACCTCGTTCCCTCTCTCTCCACCTTTAAAGACATGAATTAGAATTCAGTCTTCAAACCCACTCGTGACAAATCCCAGCAGTGCTAAATGGCTGATCACTGGGTGATGGGGGCTATGGACCACGTTCCTTGCCCTGGTGCTCAACAGCCTGTTTCATGATCCCCACCTCCCTAAGCAGGAGCAGAAACCCCCAGCTTGGGGTCTGTGCAACCAGGTGCAGCCAAGTGGCCTGAATCCCAGGAATCAAGAGAGCAAGTGAGCCAGGTGGGAAGCAGCCACAGCACAGCTGTGGAGTCCTGTTTCCAAGAGGCAGTGGGTATTCCTGGAGTGTTAACCTTCACTCCTGAGGTCCCTGAAGCCCAGGGACAGTTGTCACTAGAGGTCCCCATGGTGAGCTTCGACACTGCCCCTGGCTCCATACTTCACAGGCTGGCTCTCTGGCCCTCCCAGTGTGTCTGACATCCCCCTACTCGCCTTTAAAAAGAACCTGAAAACTCCAAAGCCTAGAATGTGTTGCCAATATGGTGATACCTGAATTATAGACTGTCCCACAATAGACAGCACCCCGCATCCCAATCTTCTTACACTTCTTCACTAGCAATGATGATGGGGGCTTCACTGAGCCCAGGACAGACCCGTAAGTAAAACTCTGCCCTTTAATCCCAAGCCGGTGCAGAGCTACTGAACAATGACGCTGGCCTTTCTGATCATCTGAGAGCCGCCAGTCCTGCACTCCTTACCGGGTCTTCTCACTTACTGCCCTCCTGACCTCATTCTGGTCAGGCTGGCCACTTTGGCTGCACTCTGATGAGGTCAATGATGCCTTGGTCAGCCTATCTCGTCTCTGCAGAGTGTGACAGTGGCCAGCACTGTCCCTCCTGCCCTCTTTCACAGCACACACACCCCAAGCCCACCATTCCTGCTAGTACAGTAGCTCATCTCTGCCTCAGTGTGCCAGGATCGGGGTCCTCAATGGAGCAGGTGGGGCTCACTCCCCAAGGACAAGAAGCCCTGTGAGGATCTGGCCCCTGTCACAGAGAGCTGCAGGCCCGGCCCCAGGCATCCTATTGACCTTACAAGGCAGATGCAATGGGGCCACTTTAAAGTGAATGAGCAAGAGAAACAATTGTGTTTATATCTCTCCAAAAGTCGTTTTGTTTTGTGTTTTGACCAGTTTTATCGATGAGCAGAAAAGTAGCCTCAGTGAACAGGATGCTGAGGCCCCGTATGGAGAGATCAATAACCTCTCCGCAGAGAGAGGTGCTGAGAATATGGGCCTGATCAGCACGTGGGTGGTTTTGACATTGCTTAAGTACAAAAGCGCAGACCTGCGAGATGGAAAGAGCGTCACAAGGGAAGGAGAAAGAAGTGGCCGAGATGGAAAGGCTCCTCACCAGCAGGGAAGCATCTCCCTGGGTTCTGTTCCAGCCAGCACCACGTGGACCCGGGAGAGGACATGAGTCTCGTGGTCAGTGCAGCAGAGAATGAGGCGGAGAGAACAGGGACAGGGGACCCAGGCAGGCTCCCACTGGGAAAACACAGCACTTGCGTAAAGAGAAGGAAAACAAAGAAGCAATGACCCAAACAGGACTCCCCATGCAATGGGAATGAGCAGTTCATCGTCCACACATCCACTCCAACTGTCCTGCAAAATTATCTAGTGTGTGCTTATTGGTTTTAGAAATGCTTCTAAACTCAACGATTGTAGTTGTTTGGAAAATAAAAGATCCTGGCTTTGGTAGGCCACAGAGGCCATCAAGAACTGTAGAAGAAGAGGACCCTGCCAGGGGCAACTGCAGAGTCAGCTCTACCAAAGCAGGTGACACCAGGCACCCGTGGGTTCACTGCTGATGGCCCTCGTTGCTGGGATTGATGAGCTGAGTTCCCAGTGCTGTGGACAGAACTGTGGTCCCCAAGAAAGCTATGTTAAAGTCCCACCCCCAGCGCCTTGGAACATTGCCTTATCAGGCAGCAGCATCTCTACAGTGGGAACTGTACACAATTCCAATGAGAAGAGGTCTCACTGGAGAACAGTCCCCGCTCCAACATGACTTGTGCCCTCATCAGAAGATCACTTTTGAAGATAGAGACACACAGAGAGGATGCCAAGTGACAGCGAAGGCAGAGACAGGAACCTCCCAGCCACTAACACTAAGCCAGAAAACACTAAGAATTGACAGCAAACCCCAGAAGCTGGAAGAGGCAAAAACGGCTCCTCCAATACAGCTTCAGAGGAAGCCTGACTGTCACACCATGACTTCAGACCTCTGGTCTCTGGATCTGTGAGGGAACACCTTTCTGACTTTTTAAACCGCCCCGTTTGTGGTAATGTAGTACAGCACCCAAGACAGTAACACACTCACGACGAGACATTTAAGAATGTCTGATAATGCAGTCCATGAATTTAGATACATGATAGTAAAAACACAGAATTAGACAAGCATAATTTTTGTGTTGAGCGCACAGTTCCTCTGCTCATAATCAACCGAATCACGTATCGCCCCTGCCTGAGTAACCCCTTTCTCCCACTAAAACGCAGTAGTATTGGTCCCGTCAGGTTGGGTACCCGCAAAAGGGATTTTGAATAGGAAGTAGATGGTAAGTGAACAAAGGAACGAGGTAAGGAAACAACATGATTTCGAACTAACTCCGCCCAAATTACTGCCACGGACAATTGAAGAAACTTTAAAGGGAACTAAAATATTAGGAGGGAACCACAGAGCCCCTGGCACGTGTCCCAGGTCCATGAAATTCTGGAGACTGGAGACCACTTGGTTTCTGCCCCTCTCCATTCAAAAAATCTCCAAGAAAAGAGGAAAATAGAGACTGTTGCTTACAACAAAACTTGCATGATAAATACTCCCCTGGGACACACAGCCAATTAAGAAAAATCCAAAGTATTTGGACATCGTGTTTCTCAGAGAGAACATGGAAGAAATGAGGTAGTGATGCATCCCTTTCTGACATTTAAAAGCACCCCGTTTGTGGTAATGTGGTACAGCACCTAAAGACACTAACACACTCATGATAAGACATTTAAGAACGTCTGATAAGATGCACATTTCACAGGTCACTCAGTAACGTACTTTGGTTCTTTTGGTCTCTAAATTAGAAGCAGGAGCAGGAGACGTGGGTCTTGTCGTGAGGTGTTGCTCGCTGGCATCCAGGGGTTAGCAGAAGCAGTAAGACAGCACGAACCACCCAGATCTCTAAATCTGGCATCCAGAAGTCCAGGCAGCCAGTAGTTTAAACGCTGCCCAAAACGTACTGTGATAAATATAAAAATAGTATCAGAATGAGGTACACGGATTTTAAAAGTAGAAAGTTGCAGTATACCTACGTTTTAAATGAAGAGCTTCATGTATTTCCGCATTGTTAAAAACAGAACCTGAAAATTAAGGGGTTGACTTACATTCAGAAAGTAATGCTCTCTTCTGTTCACTTACTTCACCATCTCCAGTTAGCCACCCAGAACATCTTAGGACCGGAGTCTTAGGAATGTCATCCCGTTTACCCAGAACGTCTTAGGACCGGAGTGGATGAATTCAGTGGCAATGGGGCCATTCCTTCTGGCGCAGCCCCCAGGAGAGAAGGAGGAGGAGCTGGAGAGTCTGTGGCTGAGCTGAACGCCCTCTTTTTTGTGCAGAGGAGATTCCAGAAGGCTCCTTCCTTTAGGTGTTTAACCTCTGTGATTGGGTGGCCTTATCAGAGGTCTCAATACTTTGTGACTTTTCTTCACTGGATGCCAGAGATTGCAGCCCACAAATTAAAGAAAGCCTGTGATTTGTCTGCCAGTGATTTCATCTGAAGTCCACACTTGCCTCTGAGTTATTTCTTGGTCAGTCTGACCGGCCTCTGCTCCAGGATACCCACCAGCTCTCTGTAGACCCACCTCGCCGAAGCTGAATGGCACACAAGCAGATGTGCACAGGAACAAGTGTTATAATGAATGGTTTGGACAACTGAAAACTTAGGCTGGGTGCCGTGGCTCAGGCCTGTAATCCCAGCACTTTGGGAGGCCAAGGTGGGCAGATGATCTGAGGTCAGGTGTTCGAGACCAGCCTGGCCAACATGGTGAAACCCTGTCTCTACAAAAACACAAAAGTTAGCTGGGCATATTGGCAGGCAACTGTAATCCCAGTTACTTGGGAGTGAGGTGAGAGGGTGGCTTGAACCAGGAGGTGGTGGTTGCAGAGTCGAGATCGTGCCATTGCACGGGCCTGGGCAACAAGAGTGAAACTCTGAGAAAGAAGAAAGAAAGAGAGAAAGAGAAAATAAAAGAAAAGATGGACACTTAGATGCAATGAACACTTCAGCGGAAATCCTTCCCTTCCTTTCCTTTCACTGCAAATGCAGTGGACGGGCTGACATCTGCGTCACTAGTCACCCACAAAACCTTGCCAATAATAATTCATGCCTGATCCAGACAGAGCACAGTTCTTTCATGAGTGAGAAAAAAATAAAGAAAGAAAACGAGGAAAGACCTTACTGGAAATAAGAAAGATCTTTTTGTTTGCCCGTTTTATTTTTTAACCTGATGTGTCGCATAGTACTGGATGTCACCAGATTGTCATTAATGTCACTTTTCCTCCTGTTCCATATGTGATGTGACATAGCATCTGACTAATGAAACCCGATGAACAATATGTCAACATAAAGAAGCACGCTGGGTCACAAATATGCTCCAAGAACATTAAATTGCAAGGAAATGTATATTGAACGTGTTTTCCATAGGAATAAAATTGAGTTGCATAGTTAACATATTACATTTAGGTATTCTACCTTAGAGACCAAAAGAACCAAAATACATTGTCGAATGACCTATAAAATGCACATTATCAACACATATTGATAGCAGAGTCAGCACCAAGAAGAATTGCGAAGGGAAATCGTGCTTTCTCTGAAAAGGCAAACTACTGTGCAAAGGAGCCAAGCCACAGGCACAGAAATAGAAGCGCGCTGCATTATTTTGGAGGAAACGTTGTTATATTGTTTTCAAATACTTTTTGATCCTCATCCCACTAAGTCCTTTTTGGCCCCAGGCCTGGTCTTGCTGACCTGGCCCTAGCCCAGTTGGCTACGCCATGGGCTGCCTTCTCTCAGCCCTGGGCCCGCAACCTGCTGAAGAGAACCAAAAAGTTGGCTCTGCCATGAACAAGGCACCCAGCCTCCGCAGGATCTGCTGCAGGTCATGGTGAGAACAAGCTCCAAACCTCCCTGTCAACCTTTTTAGTAACTTCTCAGCATCCTGGACAGTTTCCTCAGGCTAGAATCCTAGCCCTGAGCTTTTTCACATAGTTCTGCAGCCTGCTTTCCAGAGCAGAAAAGCTGTGCTCATATTAACTTGGCTTCTTTTCCCTGCCTCCCCCTCTGCCAGGCTGGCCTTCCCCCGTGCCCACACTTGCTTCATTTCACTGCAGTGAGTTCGGGAGCTCCCTCATCACTGCAGCCTTTGCGTCTCCCAGGACCAAGAGTCTCAGTGTACCCCCTTTTCACCCTGTCTTTCTCCCTCTGTGTTGAAACCACTCCACTGGTGCGGCTGTTTCCAAGTGATCCCCGGGCTCCCAGTGCTCCGATCTGACAACCCGGCCTCCACCACTCACTCCACGTAGTTTGGTGCCTCGACCTCCTGACGATTCCTCTTCCCTGGGCTTCAGCGACACACACTCGTCTCCCCTTGCCCCTCACTGACCATTTCTTATCTTCTTCAGTGCACCCTCTTCCCTCTCGCCTGATGAATTGGGCTGTTCTCCACAGCTCTGGAGCCACCTCCCCTCTCCTAATAGCCTGCACCAGGCAGCCCTGTCACCTGGAGTGAATTCCAACATCTGCTGAACTTATCCTTTGTATCCCAGCCCTGCTTCTACCCAGACCTCAGAGTCTGCACATCCTGCCAGCCACTAATGCACCCCCCAGGACCCTTTCTGAACTCCCAACAGGAAGTAGTCTTTCTTTGGCTACATTTGCACCCCACTTCATCCCAACTGCTTCCAGGCTGTGGCCAATTCTTCACTCTTTCATTAATTCATTCAACCACCTTCAGCTATTGGCAAGGCTTGTGCCAGGTGATAGGAAGCATGGGGTCAAGACCACAGTGCTCAACTCCAGGAGCATCCAGTCTAGCTGAGGAGAGCATCTGTGTAAACAGATGGGTGCACCACAGACTGTTGGGGCAGAGAGAGGCTGATCAAGAAACACCAAGAGGCTGCACGTGGGAGGGGCCTGACCAAATGGAGGGGTCCAGGAGCATCCCAGAAGATGCAGCTTATAAGGGGAGAACGAAAACGTTAGCTGGAATTACCCAGGAGGTAACTGCTTGTATCAAGGCCCAGAGGAAGAAGACAGAGAGAGGCAGGTAGAGACTGGCATGGAATAGCAGGTTCACTTGTCAGGAGCCTGGACAGCAAAGGCTTCAGTGGCCAGCTCAGAGGTCCGATGCCCAAGCTAAGGTGGGCCTGGACCAGTAGCTGCAGTTGGCTGAGACAGGACGCAAGAAGACCGTGAGAGTCACCCAGATGTGTGATCGTGTTTCTTCCTGAACTAAGAACGCAGCAATGAAAATACAGAGAGAGATGCAAGAGATTGGAAGACCAAAACAAATAGACATGGTGTTTAATTAGTCACGAGGGAAGGCGAGTCGAGCCCAGTCCAACCGGGACACCCACAGTCCAGCCTGGAACAATTACGAGGCTGATGGTGGCGCTGGCCAGGTTCCACACCGAGAGAAGAGTTGCAGGAGAACAAGACGGCAAATCCTCGTCAGCATCTTAGAAACTGGTGCACCTGGATCTCCCCATGCGACTCTCAGCCGCACAAGGGCAGAGCTTCTGTTTTCTGCCATGCAGAGCCCACGGCGGCCAACGCGCGGCCCTCACCACACAGAGCACACTCTGACAGCCACAGTCCCACCGAAGGCAGAGGCCACCCAGGAGCTGCTTAGTTCTCCCACCTGGGAGAGCTTTCTTAACTTTTTCCTTCTGAAAAGAGCAAAAGGATTTATTAAGAATAACTGAACCCCCTTTGTGGAATTAGAATGGTATGTATGCCTCATACATCAGATTTCACTATAATTATATCTCATGAACGATGAAACCACCCAGTGGAATTCCAGTATTACTCTCCCTATGAAATAACTGTAGGAAGTCTAAGCCAGGGCAGCCGAGACCATGTCAACTTTTCTCATCCCAGACAGAGCCTTTCAGTTCTCCCACTTAGCCCATGCCTTTGGTGACCCGCGAGTCCCAATTCCAGCCTTGGGATCGCTGCTTCTCCCAGCCACCTGGAGGGCATGTGCAGACCTTGCAGGCTCCCTGTGAGTGCGTCTCAGCAGACCCTCCTTCCCAAGCCTGCATTTCCTCAGCCCAGCATCTTTTCCTCTGCACGGTTGATTCTGCCTTCTATTTCCTGACTTTTCTTCTCCCAGAATCTGTGTATTGTGGTAACAAGAGTCACGTTTTAAACCCCTTTCTGTGGAAAGAATTAATTCCTATTGAATGTCTGATTGGGAAAAACCATGGTGATCCTTATGAGAATAAGTTTTGCTTAGTTTTGAGCCCTGTGGAAGGTGTCATTTTCATCTGGTTTTTATAAGACACATACTTAGCTCCAACATTTTAAGATGGTGGAAAATGTTTTCTACCTTGTAAGTATCCCTTTGGTTTATAGTAATTAAATATCTCTTGGACAATTCTCTGGCAATAAGAATTAAAGATACTACTGATTAATATGAAATAGTTGCCGTAAGATACAGGACACATTTGCACATACTAGAATACAGTGAATATCTGTTGAATGAATCAATGAAAGAATGAATTAATAAACCTGAGTAATTCCACGTGGCTCAAGACTAGGCAAAACTGCTTCTATAGCCATCCGGAATTTGACTAGGACATTGCAGAAAACTTGATGCTAGTTACGGCATTCACCCCTCAAGTCAGACAAAACTAGGAAGCAAAATTAATTAGTATTAATTATTATGAAATAATTGTCATGTGGCAGATACTTCACATTTGTTACTCTGTGGATCTTCAAAGCATTCCTAGACGTTATGAACCCCATTTGCCCACGCTCTGCAGCTCCACTGGCAGAGCGGGTGAGGGGAGTGGGATCTGAGTCTGGTTGTGTATGATTCCACACTCACGAGCTCTCCACACTGACGTGTTGAGTAAGGGTCCCATAAATACTGTCTCTTGGGAACTATTTTTCCCATATAGCATTATTCATCTGTATCTTTCCAAAATGAAAAACAAAAACGCCATTTGTTCCTGAGTGCCATTAGCACATGTCTGAAGCTGCTTTGGGTTTGAGTGTAGCCCTTCATGTTCTCTTGCTTGTTCTTTCGTCGCTCACACATTTGGAGGAGGCATTCCTTTTGTGGGGAGTCTTTGCAGCAGGGACTCAAGCGGCTTATCATGTTGTCCAGTGTGCAGTGTCCTCCACAGTTACCACTGTGCTCAAGGAATTGCCAGGCAGTTACTCTGTGATGATTAGGAAATAATGCTGCGTGCTTTGCAGTGAGTCCATCATAACCCATGTCACAAGTACACCTACAATTTTCTCCTGGTAATTAAGATATGGTTGACTTTTATATGCTTGTTTAAATAAAAAATTGCTTAAAACTTT